ATATATATCGTCACAAACAGAACTGCCCGGTAAACCATAGGCAGAGAGAGAGAAGAGGACAACAAACGAGGGGCTGTGACAAACTGTTTCGTCAGAGTTATTCTGTTTGTGACGATATATATATATATATATACCTACGGTTTACCGGGCAGTTCTGTTTGTGACGATATATATATATATAAAAGCTTATGGACAAGAAGAAGTTCTGGGGGAGGAAGGGGAGAAAAAGAGGCAGGTGCATGCCATGTGGCATGTGCCAACACTCTCTCCCTCTCTCTCTCTCTCCCCGTGCTCCTGGCTAGAGAAGAAGAAGAAGAAGAAAGAAGAAAAAGAAAAAGAGGAAGAAGACACCTCTGGGGTGGCTATGGTGTGCAGCTTGCACAGAGGGGGGTCGGAGAGCGACGGTGATGAGGTCACGCAGCTTGGGCAATGCAGGGCACACGCTGCAAAGCGGGAGCACTGAGGTCACACAGCTCGTCGATGATGGCGACTCCAAAGTGAGGAGAGGGGGTGGTGGAGCGGGCCAGTGGGATGCCAGGGCGGCAACTCCAAGTGGGGGTTTGAATTAAAGCACCTACGTTCAAATTCGAATCTTGGTGGCCCAATTCAGGCCACTGATCTTCGAGGATCAGCAACCCAGATTGGGGAGCCCAGAAAATTGTTTGGGAGGCCAGGTACCAGTCTCGGGGGTTCCAATTTTTTTTTTCGGGCCTCCCTTTCGCACGCGGGAGGCCTGGTAGCTGCCTCCCGGGGGGGGCCTGGCCAAGTGCAAGAATGCACTGGGCTTGCCCATGGCCTGCCGGGGGAAGCCGCCTGGACAGGCCGCCCGGGGGGGCCACCCAGGTGGGACCTCGGGACCCAGGCCACCCAGAAAATAGCCCAAAAAAAAGTGAAAATTAAAAATTTGAAAATGGCAAAATGCACCTTTCCTGCATACTGTGAGGGCGCACCTGCCGAAACGTTGCAAACACGTACAAGGCAGGGCTTTTCCAGGTCAACAGGCTGAGAGTCTTTTTTCAGGTGTTAATTACTAATAACTGATTACTAATTACTAATTACTAATTACTAATTACTCAACCAGTCGTCAGTTTGACCCCCCTGGAGAAGTCACACCCCCCCCCCTGTCCAAGCTGATGGATTTCTTCAGAATGTAACTATATGCCTGCACAGTCCATCGGACTCCATCCCCTGGTTCTCCAGGGTAATCAATGCTGGCAGGCCACAGACAGACACACTCTCAACAACCTCAGACAATTTCTGTAAATGGGACGCTGGACCCACTTTCCAGGAGGTGATGCTCCGTTGTCCCAGGCGGTGCTAGTGCCGACTGCCTTCATCAGCACCACCAACAACACTGGACCCGTTTTCCAGCAGGTGACGCTCCCCACCAATAGACGGAATATCTGATTATCTCTCCCCTCAGGATGGTAGCGGTTGCTTCTCTTATCAGTACCTCTAGCGACCCAGGGGACTTAATTATAAAAAAATAAAATAGAAAAAAACTTTTAAAAAGCACCACCAGCACTCGGGGAATTTTGTCAAAAAAAAAAAGAAAAAGAAAGTCCGAGCCCAGCCGTGCTCCAGGATAACTGACGGCACAAATGGATTGCAAGATCCCAGCAAGCAGCTCCAAAACAGAGAGCGAGAAGAGGCGGGGTCGAATATATGCCCGCCGTCGAGTTTCATCTTTAGTTGAAGAGTGAAAAAATCAATGCCAAAAATATTTTTTTTTTAAAAACAACGCCAAGGCCGACCATAGCATAATTACAAGAACGCCAAAACCCTAAAGCATGAACTAACTGGCCAAGCACAGTTGGTTCACCCATGAACTTTGAAAAACCGATCTGCGTTTGAAATCGAGAGAAATCAGATGACTGAAAATTTTTAAATTGTGAAAATACTAAATAGGATGTGAATTTACCTTGGCCTGTCGGTTTAGAGATGTTATCTCAAGGCCATCGCCCTTTTTTCTAAGAGGATAAAAAAAAAAAGGGAAGAATTAAAGAGGAGGGGGGGGAGCATGAAGCGTGAAGTTTGAACCGAAGTAATTATATATATTTTAAATTTATTTTTTTGTTTTTCTGGGATGCTCTGTCTATTGGTGGGGAGCGACACCTGAACCGGCAGATCCCACAAATCTTGCTTTTTTTTTTTAGCTGTAGTTTTC